GGAGCACAGGGTCACCAATTTACCTTCCCCCACCAGGCACATTTCTGAGGACTCTGAGCTGAGGAACTCAGGCTGGGCCCTTCCTGGACTTTCTCTGGGCCAGCTCCACTCACGCTCTGAACATGTCTGCAGTGGAACCTCTGCAAGATCCCACCAGGCTCCTCAATGCACTTTCTCTCTGACATCCTAGCTCTTCTAACACACTATACATGATACAGCTTTTAAAGAGTGCAATGTATCTTCTGATTATGTGATGATCTTAGAAAATATAGAAAAGAAAAGAAAAATCATCCATAAACTTGAAGCTCTCTGGTTAATGCTTACAGTGGGGGGCAGGAGCATCCTCCTTGGGAGTCTTCGAAGCTAAGAGCGTGCGTTGAATAGATTAGGTTATCAATGACTGCCCACTGTTCTCCTATCAACAGTGCCTGCCTTACCCTCCAATGTCTCTTTAAAATCCTTCATCTTAGCCAGAGGCCTCTGTTAAGCATGTGTTGAAATCACTTAGCAAATTGTTTTCTTTGTCCACCAAAAATGTAAGGTTTCCATAAAAACTCTACTAAGTCCTGCTCACTTCCCAACAGTATTCTGCCCAGTGTCTTCAACCCATCCACATCAATGCTGACATTTATTTAGTGCTTACCATGCCTGGTGTGCTACACTGAGTACCTGACAAAATCTGTGTTGTTTAATCTTCACAGCACACCAAAGGTGACTGTCATCATTAGTTTCCTAAGTTTACAAGTGAAGACATGGAGAGACAAGGAGGTTAAGTAACTTGTCTAAGCCCCACAGCCAGCAAGTGGCAGAACGGAGATTTGAACCTGAGCAGCTACAGGCCTGAGTCCTTCATCATTGCTGGATCCTGATCCCACATGACTTGGCAAAAAGACCACAAGCAACATCCAATACATACTTGCGCAAAACCTCCCCGCAGAAATACTCCCTCCAAGTGGAATAAGCTGAGTGGGGAGTGGGACTGTGTCACTTGTCCCGCTCACAGAACGCCTGGACCAAAGCCATGCTTGGCCTGTACCTGGGCCTCCCCATGTTGGTGGCTCTCCCAGACCTGCTCAGCTCCCTGAGGACAAGGACTGGGGATGCTGTGCCTGCCCCTTTCATGTTGTGTTGAAATATGATGAAGTATAAGAAAAATAAAAGGAGTAGGATGGTTAAAAGAAAAATAATAATAACTTGTACTTCTTTTCAAATCCAACAATAGATTTCTTAGGGAAGGGTGGTACTGATTATTTCTGTGGGGGCAGGCAGGCAGGGAAAGGGGTGCAGTGTACAGTCTAGGACAGTGATGGCGAACCTTTTAGAGCTTTCAATGATACAAACAGCTGCCATAGGTTCACTACCTCTGGTCTTGGAGGTGTAGCTATCAATGGACATGGGTATTAGTTAGCATGGCCGTGGCTTCGGCCTTACAAGCAGATGACTGAGGAAGGCCTGATTCAGAAGGAAGATTCTGCTCTTCCATCCTTGGAATCAGAATGCCTGAGCTTCAGCAAGGTCAAGTACACAGGCCTGACTGAGGAAGGCCCCACCAGGCAGCAGAAGTCTATCAACAGACAGGTCTCCACCTCTCTGGAGAGATGCACAGGGCAGAGGCTGGCAAGGGGGTGACCATGGGAAAGCAGGGCATTAGGGCTCAGGATTTACGAGACAGGTGAGCGTTTTCCTTCTGGGCGGTGCACTGCTGGACAGAGTGGCAACTGCCCAAACTGACCCAATGACTACCAAGTTCCAGGAAGTACTGTGCTGGTCTTACCTGCTCCAGCCCCCGTAACATTGAGGTAAGCGCCTAATAACGACTTTCAACTATGACAACAGCAGCAAATCCTCCTGTCTTATTTCAGAAACACAAAGTTCACTTCTATGAAACACAGACAGCATCATGGGACAAAGAGCACTATTCAATGGAGACAGAGCAGGTAAGTTTTCTCTCTGATCTGACATTGCTTTCCATTCAATCTGGGATGCATCCTGTGGAAGAGAAACCAAAGCCACAAGCACCTGCTCTACACTAACACAGAGAGGGGCCCTCCCACCAGCTTTCCTTCAGGGCAAAGAGGCCCAGCCAAGAGTCACCAGCTTATTAAGCTTCCCCACCACAGGGGGCACCACAACTGCTCAAGGCCTCCACACCTTGGGCGCAATGTAGGGCTCCATTTTGCTAGTGAAACCTGGAAGCCCAGCACCAGACAATCCAGCCTATCTCCAAGACACACATAGGTCAATCTGAAGAAAAATACTCAATCAACCCAACTACTTTCAGCTATACACCTATGGATCTTTCTTTTTTAGACTGCATTTTTTTCTTCTTAAATCTGCCTGATTGCTGAAATACAATACACTTGGTAAAGGAAAAGAGCAAAACGAACTCTGCAGGAGCCTGCCTTCCCCAGGCAAACCAACAGTGCACAGGCTTTGCTTGCCAGCGCCAATGACATCCAGAGAAAACCGGTGGGCAGGCTAAGGAACTCCTGGCGGGGAACCAGCTGCTAAGTGAATACTGTTTGCTGACTGATACTTTCCTCTAGTTAAGATTTTTTTTTTAACCTAACTTAATTGGGATATTTAGTAGGAATTTCAAACACTGACATGTCCAAAACTGAGCTCAGCTGGTATTTATACTCAAACCTTTCCTCTTGTAGCCTTCCTTCTATCAGTCAATGTCTGTGCAATTCTTTCCACTGCTCTCAGGCAAGAAATGGAGGTGTCATCCTTGTCTTCCCTCTTTTTTTCAATCCTCACTGCAATCCACCAGCAAGTACAGCTGGGTGTGTCTACTTTCAAGGCATCTCCAGAATCCAGCCTCTCTATTCCACCTCTCCTATGTCCAAACCACCATCATGTCCACCTGAAGAACAGCACTGGCCTCTGCACTGGCTCCTCTCTTCCATTCTCCACCTATTTGCAACACAATTATCAAAGGGAGCCACTCAGAACACCAAGTCAGATCACGTCCCCTCCTGCACTAACCTTTTCCATAGTTCCCCACTGCTCCTGAATTAAAGCCAACTCCTTCTACAACTGCAAGGTCCTGGTCCCCTGAATTCATCTCTCACTATACTGCACCTCCTCTTGCTGCTGGCAGCTTCTATCCCTGGGACACAGGTGTTCTCCCACACCAAGGCCTTCAGACCTTCTGTTCTCTCTACCTAGACTGCTCTCTCTCTACATGGCTCACTCCTGACTTCACATTTCTACTCCAATGTTATCTTCTCAGTGAAACCTAATTAAAAATCTCAGGACCCCTAATACTTCTTACTCTCTGATTTCTTTCTTTCTTCTGCTGCACTTATCAGTGATACATTATATGCTGTACTTGTGTATCTTGTCTCTTCCAACTAGAACGTAAGCTCTGTGAGATCTAACATGTTCACCTGTTTGGTTGAGCAGTACATGGTGCCAAGTGCCTAGTAAGTGTGTTCACTGAACGACTGAAGATGGGACAGGCACGTAGTTTAAAATCAAACATTTATGAATGAGCCACATTAGAAAAGTAACAACGCCAATATGAACTGGTTGGATGAGTGATACAAATCAGAGAATGTGACTAAAGCCATTGAAATTCCACTTCTTATAATGGTGGACTAAGTGACTGGGACCAATTCTTCCACTGAGAACAGCTAAATCAGGGGGAAAATGTCATATACAATTAAGTATGCAAAGTACCTTCTTAGATACATATACTTCAGAATTAGAACCTGGAGAGGTAAGTCCAATGCAAATAGCTGCTTTGATTCCAAGGGCTTCTGCAGTCCTGGAAGACACAGCTAGAAGCTTTACTGTATTCTCAGCCTACTCTAAGAGCTAGGGCAGGGGTGTGTGCTCCTAAAGCCCAGGGGAGCAGACTGTCCCCACTTTAAACTGAGACCCCCAAAGGCCCACACTCCTAGGATGAGGATGAACTTGACAAAACTAGGTCTGCAGGCTGGCTTTTTCATCATGTGGAACATTTGGAGAAGCACAAGCCTTCAACTGAAGGTAGTCTCAAACTGACAGGCTCCCAAGTCTGGGCAGGAACTAAGAACAATCTTTTCTGGAGGATGGTGATGTCATCTTAGGCCACCAGTTAGTCCTATGCACACACTTTCAAATACACTAACCTGTACAGAAAGATACCCAACACACAAAGAAACAAAACACCAGGAGTGAGAACCAGCAGACACAAAAGACGACAATCAGACCGACAGTCCTTGAGATGCTGGAATGTCAGACATAGGCGCTTTTCTCTTATGCGACCAGGCTTACTGTGTTCAAAGAGCTAAAAGACAAGCTTGACAATTTCAGCAGAGAAGCTGACAGCATTAAAAGTGACTGGGAAAATAAACAGAAATTCTACAGCAAACGTGTGCAGCAGGTCCAGTGGGAAGAAAACTGAAAGTGGGGGGAACATTATGACGTCAGCAATCTGACTTTATCTTCCAACAAAGAGAGAAGGAAAGTAGAAATTTTCAAAATAGGGTTGAGTACGCATTTCCCATGTTTGTCTGCTAGCGGGAACACCAGGCTGTCAGCTAGCCTCAGAAAAATTTCTAAATCCCAAGACGCAGAGAGGAAAAAAGCAAGCTCTGTACAAGAGACTTGGTAAAAAAAGAAAGGGACAGAAACAGTATCCAATTTCTTCCTTCTCCATGCCTATAAGCATGGAGGTACTACCTTCCCAAAGCAGGCTTCTCAGCTCCGGAGTGTTAACTCTACAGAATACTCCATTGTCTCATAAAGGATCTGTGTGCTTCCTACCCCATCAGGGATTCTCAACTGAACTCAAGTGATGCTAGAAATAAGCATCATCCCTGCAACAAACAGCTGTGTCACATCCCGTCCCTCTCCCTCCTCCCACCCTCAGCCTCCCTACCCTGGGTGCTATCTTTACACAGAGGGCAGACAGAAGAAAAACAGTTAGTCATCAGGGGCTTTGCCTACGTTTGCCCCACCATCCTCTTGATTTAAAACACAATCACTGCAGAAAACAAGCAGGCACCTACAGGTCTGAAGGACTTGAAGACTTTTTCCAAGACTTCATGGAGCGTCTTCTTGCCGCAGGAGGAGATGTAGTCCTGTGCTAGCTGCAAGAAAGGCAGGCAGTCCTCGCTCTCACTCCACACGTGCTGTGCGCCCGTGTCAGGGCGGAGAGAAAACAGAAACACAGGTCATCACCCTCGGTGAAAGTCACAGAACGACGCACAGACTTTTAAAGAATTACATGAATTTGAAGACAGCCTCCATTCCAGAGTCAAATCCATACCTTTGTTTTCCTTCAGTGCTGGGGATGAAACCCAGGGACTCACAAATGCTAGGCAATTGCTTTACCACTTAGCTACAGTCCTAGGCCTTTTAATTTTTTATTTTGAGACAACGTCTCATTAAATGCTCAAGCTAGCCTCAAACTCAGGATCCTCCTCTGCCTCAGCTTCCCAAGTCACTGAGGTTACAGGCATGCGCCATTGTATTACTGGCCTCATTTTTTATTGTTTGCATGGAAGTGGATCAGAAAATGTCCAATTCACAGAGCTCCATCCCACCCCAGAACTGTGGTTCCTATTCTCACCTGCTCCATTTGCCATCTGCTCACAGGTAGTAAAGACGGCAGCAGGCAGTTATTCCTCACCCATGGTTTTACTGCTCACCTTCTCCAGTAGGCTAAGGATATTTTTAAAATAGGAGAGAGGAGAAACCAGGCTCTTTGCCTTCAAAATCCTTCAGGATTTTGGGTGCAGGATTAAGCACAGACAACCATGAACTTGGAACAAGACGTTCTTTACCCAAATCAGCCTGTGAGTGGAGGTGGTGGTAAATTTAATTCAGAATAAAATGAACTTAGAAAAAAATGCAAAGTCCTCACTAAGTTACTGGGAAACAAGGGCTTTCTAAAAGCTTTCCTTCTTTCACTATGCTTTAAGAGGGTAGTCTATCCAAGCACCACTAAAGCACATAACATATGCAGAGAGGTTTTCAGTTTTATTTTGTTCTTAAGGCTGGTTAAGGTTTTTGGGGTGTTTTTTTTTTTTTTTGCCATATGAGAATATCTGTTTCAGCACATCTTTAAGAGGAGGTAAGGCTCTTCCATAATGTTCAAGGATCTGGAATAAGCCCAAGAAACAGGCTTAAGATCTGAAAACAGAAGTCTAGGCTCTACAAAGGTGAACGAGATGGAGCACCTGGCTACAGGGTAGTAGAGTATCCATAGACCTGTCTTGAGGGCACCAACTGATGACAGTTCAACACTGGTGAAACAGTGCTGAGGCCTGGGAGAGGGAAAAACATCTGGCAGACTAGAGTAAGAAACATGGGCTAGGCAGCAGGAGACAAGATCTATTTGGAGAAATGGTCCATGTCAAGTGCATGCTGACTCCCTTCCATTCATACAAATGATCAGCACAATGCCCTAGAAAGTCTTATGCCTGTCACTCAATGAGCACATTTCATTGCGTTCCTTTTCACTGCAGGATTTCCAAGAAGTAGAACCATAGATTTAAAATATTGCTCAGATCCAAGTGCGGGTAACAAGGTGCTAAAGTGCCATCTTCATACCCCAATCACCTAGTTCATTCTGTAAAGGTCCTTTTCTGACATCTGCTGCTCTAATTCCAGCAGACTTCTCCAGCACGTTTTCCTCGACCTGATGAAACCAATGGCTGGGGTCCTCTAGCTTTAGAACTCTTCGTTATTAATCAGAGACCTTTAAAGCTGCTGAGGCATTGAAATGTCACTATATAATAGTCTCTCACACTGCACAAAAGTCTAACAGTACAAAGTACTTTTATACCCATTATCTCACTTTATTCTTAATGGAGATTCAGCAAGAACAACAAAGCCCTACTTTAATAAATTCTGCTTAGTGTCCGTTTTCATACTCAATTTTTGTAAGTTTCAGCTTATCTCAAATTATTAACTACATTAACTACGTTAAAGATGGAATTAACAACTAGAAGCACACAACTTTAAGCCTGCCCTCCTGCGACTTACTGTGATGATTAGAGTTAAAAGTTTATTTGGTGCTTGGCTGGGTGCCAGGCTGGCAGGTAGTACACCCTCAGTAAGTGGTGGACACAGTGCCTTCTTTTCCCTTTCACACTTGCAGGAAGATGAGGAGACAAATGGCGAGCTGGGCTCCCACCTGCCACATGGCTAAGGTCACCCAGTGAGTAAATCAGACACGCAGTGTGACTTCTCTCTGAATACTGTCCAGGGCAACTGGGTGGCGGTTAATTCAGAAATGGGTAGATTTATGAAATACTTGTAGTCTTACTTTTTAAAAGTACATTTGGCCTTTAAGTACAATGTAAACAGGAGAGTGCTCACTTAATGACAGATCTGCAACACATCCACAACCCTCCTGGGATCCGTTTAGTTTTTCTAGGCATCTCTAATCTCATGAAGATTGTTCATGCCACAATTTCCATTACTCTTGGAACTGTTCATTTTTCAGTATTTGTTGGAGAAGGGAGATTAAATAGTCACTAAAGTGTTTCTGCCTAAACTTCCTTTATTTGGCTGTCTACCTCCCTCTGGATTCCCAGTTTTCTTGGTCTTCTGTGTTTGAATTCCTGTCCACATGATAAAGCAGGGGACATGACACTTGAGTCAGAGAGACCCAGGTGGGCATGGCCACTTGAAAGACACCATTTACCACCTGTTAACTGTTGTGTATCTATCATATCTCACAACAAGTAGTTATTTTAACTACTTCTTTCTAAAATTAATCAAGGTAGCTCGCAAAGAATCATAGTATATAAGACAAGATAAACTGAAAATTGTCTTCAGTGGGGAAAAAAAGGACAAAAGAAAAACAATAGAAGGAAATAAGGTAAAACCAAGACTGAGAAGAGGACAAACAGAGCAATATACAAGGGTCTGGCCACTTGCTAGGCACTACAGTTTTCTCGGCAGCCCACAAAAAGAAAGCAGCACTGCCTCCCGTCAGCGCCCACAGATAAAGCAGACTGGCTCCTCGGGAACATCACTAGGAAGAGGGCTGAGGGAGGACAATTGCTCTGGTGGGAAACAGTCCAGGGCAGGGCTGAGGCTCCTGAAAGCAGGATTTGGAGTCTAACCTCAGTCAAAGAGAAACAGGCACTTGAAGACCCAGAGTCCTCGGCCACAAGGCATGGCCACAGTAACTTCAAGCATGTATAACCAAATGCCACATAGGCCAGAAAAAAGATAAGAGGGAAAAAAGAAGCAGAAGTCAGAGAACCTGTGTCATACCCTGGCCAACTTGGATCTAGGTCCAGAATGCGCTGACTTTCCAACAGGGCAGCTGGAGCAAAGGCACAGTGTACACCTCACAGGGTGACAGGAGTCATCACGGAGAGGCCTCAGTCGTGGAGGAGAGCAAAGGTCTCCAGTGTTAGTGTGGATGTGAATCGCCTGTGGGCCGTTAAACATGGATGGCTGGGCCCACCCCAGGGTCCCCATCCAAAGAGCTCATATATGCAAAGTGCCTAGAATAGCGTCTCATACAGAGTGAGATGAACAATCAAGTAGTAGTTGTTCTTTTTCAAAGCTGTATTCTTATACTTTTCAATTGTCTTCCTCACTAGACTGTCACAGATCACTCATTCATTTATTCATTCATTCTCACAAAAATGTACTGAGCATCTATCACTTATCTGACACTGTTCAAGGTGCTGGGATACAGTAATAAAACAGACAAGGTCTCTGCTCCATGGAGCTTACAGTCTAGTAGAGGCAGAAAACAAGCGAACAATGAAAAAGACTCACAGTCTGATGAGCACTATACAAAAAATAGAAAAGGCTAAGGTGAGAGAGGTGGAGTCAGGAAGACTTTTCCTAGGCCTGAATGGCATAAAGGAGCCAGCTATGTAAACAGGTGGGGCAAGAGTGTTCTGGACAAAGAGAACAGCAAGTGCAAAGGCCCTGAGGCAGGAATGAGCTTAACTGTGAGAGAACCAGAAATGCCAGTGTGAGCAATGGGGAGAGAATGGTCAAGATGAAGTCAGATTGGGTATAGGGTTGAAGTCAAGGGCAAAGGCTTGGATTGTATGGCAATAATGATGGGAAGTACACTTAGGTAAGGAGAGGAGTGCTGGTGACCTGACAATCACCACCCCCTCTATCTATATTTTAAGTTTTATATAGGTCAAGATTATATTTTAAATAGCTCCAAAGTGACTGCTAGGTGGAGACTGGCTAAGGGTGGGGATAAAGATCTTAAGTTTAGAACAGAAGATGAAAAATGGCAGTGGCTTGGACCGTGACAGCATGGGAGTGGACACTGCAGGTATTCCGAAGGGGATTCTAGCAGAATTTTTAAGACCCAGATGCAGGGAAGGGTAAAGGGTGGCATTAAGGATGTTCCTTAGGTTTTTGGCTTGAGCAATTAGATGGACAACAACACCCAGAGGGACTACTGGGTACTGCGGGTTTAGTACAAGTTAGGCACTATTTTCAAGCAACCCTGCCAGACATTCCCTAAGATCACCAACCTTACTTTAAGCCCTGATGTCTAACAACCCTGCTAGGAAGGTGACAGATGTCGAACTGTGGCACAGAGTGAGAAGATGTCTGACCTGAGCCGGTGCTCCTGACCACCATGCCACACAATCTCTTAGCTGGGTAAAATGGCCTAGGACCATGAAGGCTATGCCAGATAGCCTAGACTCAGCAGAAAATAAGGCCCCAACAAATGTTTGTCAAATGACTGACAAAACATGTAGATACTTTGTAAATTGAGAGATGCTATGTAAATCTTATCGATAAGAAATCCTGATGGGCCAGGCATGCTGGCACAGGTCTATAATCCCAGCACTTTGGAGGCTGAGGCAGGAGGATCACTTTGAGTTTGAGAACAGCCTGGGCTACACAGCGAGTTAAGGACAGTGTGAACTGTCTCAAACAACAACAAACCAGACAAAGAAATCCTGATGGGTATGGTGACACACACCTGTAACCGGAGCTACTCAAGAGGCTGAGGCAGAAGGATGCAAGTTTGAGCCCAGCCTGGCCAACTTAGTGACTTGGCAAGGCCGTGTCTCAAAATAAGAAAACAAAAGGGCCAAGTCTGTAGCTCAGTGTGAAGCCCCTGGGTTCGACGGTCAGTAACAAAGGAAATCTTCCAAATAACAAAGATTCCACTCAACTCAAATTTCTTCTAATGCCTAACAGATTTCCTTGGAAAAGGGAAAAGAATCAAGGTAGGACTCTTATTAGAGGCAAACAAAACCTGACACACCTAGCCTGGGACAGATTCAAGGGGAGATTTGCCTAAGAAAACTGCCACAGTTGGCATCTTATCCACTACGACCTCCAGAAACTTTGAGAAAAGTCCTAGTCTGCCCAAGGACTTATTTTCTATCTTCCTTATCGATTCCTTCCAACTTTTACCTTATCTATTATATTTAAATCACCATCCAACACTTCCAATATGGGTGGCCTGCTACAAACAAGGTTTCTCTATGGTGGTCTGAGATACACATTCCAGGCAAGAGAACAGCCTTTGTCTTCCTGTCCCGCTCACCCTGGGGAGTCATTTTTTGGGCTATGTCCCCTGTGGTCCCATCAGAAGAGTGGGGGGCACCTACCCCATAAAATCTGGAATCATGAGCAACTCTCGTCCTCTTTGCAAAGGAAGGAGGGGGAAGGACTCTGACAGGCCAGAGCAGCCAGAAGCCAGAAGGGACTCCTGGTCGTACTCTAACATTTAATTAGCTGCACCTTGCTGCCTTTTACACTAGTTCCCTGGGGCTCAGTCACACTTTCAAAATGGAGTGCATCTCTTTAATGATCCCCCATTCCTCCCAATAACAACCCTTCTTTGCTTATTTTATGCACAATTAACCTGTACTTACATGCATTAACAGCTTATTTGTTCAGCACAAGTAACTTACTTAGAAACCCCCATTTTACAGGTGAGAAAACTAAGCCTCTTAGAGGTAAGCTCTGAACTCTGGGCAACACCAGGTCTTGGAATCCCAAATTTGTGGGGCCCTTGCTGTGCATAATGGACCCTGAGGTGCTTTATCTACACGATTAGCAGGGCACTGTTATTATTAAACTCATTTTGTGGATGTGGAAATTGCACTCTAGGGAAGGCATTTGGCCACAGTCACACAGCTAGAACTCAAATCTGGCCATCACCCAAAGCCATTCCTCTTCTAGTGTCTCAGGGTTGGGCCCGGGTGGGCTCTCCTCCCACCCACCCAGAGGTGGCGTGGTGGGAAGGGCAGCCTTTACTGGCCAACAAGCCTTCCCCTTTCCGGTCCAAGGAAGGTCTCTTCACTCTTAGGAACTTGCCGTGGGTGGCAGGGTGCATGGCCCCTGGACAGCGGCCCGGCTTTGTCACACCCCCACCAGAGAAGCCGTGCCAGACCAAGCCTCGTGTGGTGCCGTGCTGCCTCAGTCTGCAGGGGCAGCAGCAGGGCCTGCTCCAGGCTCAGGCTGGCGACCACACGGTAACCTGAGTCCACAGCAGACTCCATCTTACATTTGGGGACCATTATTTATTCCCCGTGCTTACAAACCCTTTATGGAGTGCCAACCTCGTCTGGTCTCATCTCCAACCCCAACTCCCCTGCCGTCCACATCCCCTTCCTAAACTGTCAGCTCCAAGACCCCAAGTGGAAACAGGATGCAAAGTCGAAGGTTTGGACACTACAGTTCCAGGTCCCCCGCCCCTGCCCCCCTTCGGGGAAAGCCAAAAGACTCCAGCACGGCCGCAGCCGGCTCCAGGCTGGACGGAACCTGCTCCGGCCACACACACATCGCGCGCGGCTCAGAGAGGAGCTCTGGGAGCAAGGGGAAGGGGGATGGGTGTGCCCACGTTGTGTGTGCGTGTGTGTGTGTGTGTGTGTGTGTGTGTGTGTGTGTGTGTGTGATGTATGCGCACGCGCGCGTGCGTTTTTGAGATCCAGGGTGTAATTCCGCAAAGAAGGTCCAGGAAATCGGGCATCGCTAAGGTGGACAGAGGCTTTGTGTCCAAACAGACCGCACAAGGCATAACACGGAGAGGCGCGAGGGGCAATTTCAGGAGCTGTGTCTACGCCCCGGAAAGCGCACAGGCTTCCTCGCCCGGACCGGACACCTGGTGTAGGACGCTCCGGACTTCGGAAGCTGAGGGAGGGTCCGAGCGCCCAGCCTAGTCGGGGAGACGCGGGACCACCCCAGGGTGCGCCAAGCCGGGCACCGCGCGGCGACCACGGGGTGGCGTTTCCGAATCCGCGTCCGCGGGGTGCGGAGGGGTGGACTCGGGAGGACGCCACACCTCCCGCCCTAGGCCGGCTCGCGGGTCCCTGCGGCGCCCTGCCCGCTGCCCGCCAACCACCCGGCCCGGGGCTTCCCCGACGGGGCTGTCACGCCCCCACCCCCGTCCGGCGCCCCCGGGCTCTGCGCGCACCCTCCGCCAGCGCCGCGTCCCTCCCCGCACTCACAAAACTGTCGCCGCAGCCGTTGTCCGGACAGAGCACGTAGAAGGAGACGCCGGGGTCGGCGTAGAAATCCATCCTGCGCTCGGTGTCCTCGGTGGCGATGAGCTCGAAGGGCGTGTTGGAGCACCATTGCTCCGCAGCGTCCGCCAGCTGCTGGAAATCCATTGCCGCGCCGCGCCGTGCCCGCGCCCCTCCGCCTGCGCCTCCGCCTCCGCGGCGCCCTCCTCGGCGTGCGGGCGGCAGTCGGGCCGGGCGGCGGCCGCGCTCCCCCGGGTGGAGGCCTGGCCAGCGGGGACTGTTTACCCGCGTTGTGGAGCGCGGGCGAGGGGGCGGACGGGCGGGGGCCGGGGACAGCGCGGCCCCGCGCCCGCGGCTCCTCCCCTGGCCCCTCTGGCCGCCCGCGAGGCTGGCGCGGCGGGGCCGGGGCGCGGGGCGGCACGAAGGGCGGTGCGCGGGTGGAGGCGGCTCCCTGGCTGGAGACTGCTTTCCCCGTCCCCTTCTCTCACCGCTAGATTTGACACAGAACCCCGAGCATCCCGGGGCCCTCGCCGGCGCGGCCCCGCCCCGGGTCGTGACGTCACGGGTCCTGGCCAATCTGCGGAGCCCGAGTCCGCGCCGCGGCCCGCGAGCCCGGTGACGTCACAGCGCAGGCCCGGCCTCCGCGGCTCCGCAGGTCCCAGGGAAGCGGCTCTCTCGTAGCGCCCTGTGAGCGTCCTTGTGGAGTTGGAGCCTGGAGAGCGTCTTCTGGCCCTCGATTTAGATGCTCGGAGCGCCCACAGAACTGCAGGTAACTTGGATCCTGTATGAGGCTAGTGGTGAAAGAGCTGAGAACATGTAAGAAAAAAGGAGCTGTACTTGCAGAAACCAAAGTGCTAGCCTCTGATTAACGTAAACCAATGTCTCCCTTTAGTGCGTTTGTAGAACATCATTTGGAAACTAAGATTTTTTTTTTTGCTTTAAATAAAGCAGAGTACTTCTTACAAATGAGCTTCATCTGACTAGCTTTAATATTCTTCACCTTGAATTCACATGGCATAATCTGAAATGGTCAGCTGTTGATTTGGAAAAAGAGACAGTCTAAGATAAAACAGGCGCACACTGCCCAAGCATTGCACGCGTTGGATGGTCACTGGCTGCCAGGTACCCCGATGGGCGTCTCTGGGCTGCAGAAAATGCATTAGACACAACCTTGGAAGGCAAGGCTTGAATGACTACCGGCAGACACACACGTTGAATAGCATTCATTCCTTAAGCAACATTCAGTAAGCAACGTTCGCTTTATCTTTAAAGTGTGTCTCCTGATTCTGGCACCTTTTTATTCCTGAGGATGTAGAGATAGGCAAGTAGGGGTCTCCACCCCTACTTAGCCAAGGGATGCTCACCCTGATTCCACTGAACACAACCTTTACCCGATGGAATAGATGTGGTTCTGAAAAGGTACCAGCTTTGCACATTTCTAGGGCGGGAGTTCTATTCCTCTTGCCTTCCCATAGTGAAAGTAGAAACTCCACTTACTTTTTCGGAAGAGAAAGATGGTAAGGGTGGTTATCAGTCCAAAGGCATCATGAGCATTGCATCATTTCTCTTCTTTTTTCTTTTGGGAGTTTTCCTTACCTAGAAGTTCATGCTTTGCGGAATAATTTCCTCTCTTCAGTTCAAATTGTTTAAAACAATTTAGTTCCATGAATAACAGTGGAGCATCCGCTGGCTACCAAACAAGGATGCACAAGGCCCAGTTTTTGGCTTTGAAGAATTTACAGACTGTAAATTAGGCAGGATTCTAAGATATCCCCAAGGTCCCTGTTCTCCCCCAGTGTACACACATATTCTCCAACACTAATCTAGGTGCTGCTGTGAGGGGTTTTGCAAATGTCATTAAGGTCTGAAATATGGAGATTATCTTTGGTGGGCCTTGCTAGTCAGGAGAGCCTGTAAGAGACTGGGCTCTTCTGGGAGAGATTCCAAGCACAAAGTGAATTCATCACCAATGAGTTTCTTCACTAACGGCTTTGCAGATGGAGAGGGCCACCTGGCATGGACCAGAGAGCAGTGTCTTGGGGCTGAGAAAAATCCCAGCCAACCACCAGCAAGGAAACAGGCTTCAGTCCTAACCATACAAGGAACTGAATTCTGCCAACAACCTACATGACCATAGCAGCCTCCCCCCGACCCCCGCCAAAGCCTCCAGACCAGAACTGAGTCTGATCGATACCATGATTTCAGTCTTGAGAGATCCTGAGCAGAGAACGAAGTTATGCCACAGCTGTGTTGGGACTCCTGACTGTCAGAACTCTAAGCCAATGAATGGATGTTGTTTTAAGCTGCTAAGTTTGTTTGAATTTATTCTGTAGTAGTAGAAACATAAGACAACAAAGGAGAATGGCACGTGGATATAAAAATTCAATATGCTGTTGTAAAGTTACAAAATGCCATGTTTCAAAAATATGGGCACCTCAGGGTAGCACAAGCTTCCTTGACATTTTACCTGCTGTTTAAAGCATAATATGTGTTAGTCTAGAAATTCAAAAATGAAAAACTCCTTGAATTTGAGATGAAAATATGTAAAACACATTGCTTTTCTCCTTTTTCAAAAAGGGGGAGTAAAGTCTATATGTTTTAAATCTATTAAGTTGGTTCCGAGTGATGGATGACCACAATTACAAAGTTATATTTAACAAATACTTTATGAGAGAAAACTGGTCAGTGGAGGAGCATGTGACTTGCCATAGCAGTCATAAGGAAGATGAGAAGATCCTAGGATCTGAGAAACAGCACCCAAGAGAGCAGTACAAGAAGCCTGAGAGCCATCCCAATACATGTGGGAGTAGTGAGCAGGGTGCAGGCCTGGGTGGGTAAGCAGAGAGCAGACAGGTGAGTTACACTTATGCCAGTTTATGTTTCACTGCAAAAAGAGTGAAAAACGAAACTGGGAGATCAACAAAAATTAAAAATCTACATAAGTCATTGTGATTTACCCAAAATGCCCAGTAAAGCTCAGGAGAAGAATTTATGTCAGCATTCCTACCCTCTAGCTGGGAAAATCCAACCTGAATTTTATTTCTGAATCTGCCAATGTTAGTTTCTACAAAATTATTTTTTGTATCCCTCTAAAATGTTTGAATCTAGGATGTGAAGGCACTATGGATACATGGTTTGACTACATTTGCCTTAAAACATGTCTAGTTGACCAGATTCACTTGGTAAATATTTTCTTTTTATTAATGCTAAACAAACAAGCATTCATTTATGACTGAGTTTTTAAAGATCTCTTTATTATTCATCCAAACACTCCAGCGTTCTATGTTGTTCCATCAGTCCCTCCCCTTGGCCTTATTTTCAGAGAGGATAGTTTCTCAGTCCCCCATTCTAAACCTTTGCTCCCTTAGTAAAGTATAACACACAAAACTTGCTTCTCAGCAACATCTGATTGGTGGTGTTAAGAAGCAAACACAGACTTTAAAGTGGCAAAGCACTCTTTTAACATTTTTGTCTGTTCCTTTCCTGATCGTGATTATAGTTCTGCGCCTATTTTATTGGATTACTGAGCCTTATTAGGACCCTGCTCCAGGATCTCTCCTCTGGAGAGATGTCTCAAGAGCATTACCAGAGAACTCCTTCAAGGATGTGGGATATCTTCTAGGAAAAGGGGTGTACCCAGGTGATTTGCTAAAAACGTAACTGCTCTCATTCTTTCAGTGGACATCTCTATCAGGACACGTCCATTTACCCCGATACCATGACCTGGGCACCAGCACCTCGGGATGTGTGGCTCAAGGTACCTGTCATTGGTTGCAGTGATTGGACCAGAGCTGAGGGAAAGAGTACAGTTGGCATGTATGACACGGTGCTTAGGTGTTAGAATGACATCAGGTCATGCCTTGAACACTGAGTAGTGTGACATTGGATTAGTGGCCCCAGGGAAACCCAGTTTCAGTCTCTGTAAAAATGGGTATGTAACCATAACTCCATTGTAAAAATTTGAGGAAATAAATATGTGAGTGTGTGTGTGTGTGTGTGTGTGTGTGTGTGTTTGTGATGGGGGAAGGGTACAAAGAATCCACAAGGAGTTTTAAAATGGGAAATGTAAAATGTAAAATTTGAGTATATACATAGGATTCTTAGTAGCTTCTGTGTATGTGAAGGTTTCAGTTCAACTTTTATTAAATCATGTGTGTATGTTAAAATTTTAAGTATAAATTAGGTATTCTTTGTGTGTAGTATATATGTGTGTTACTGAGAAATGAACCCAGGACCTGGTTGAGCTATACCCCCAGGCTTTTAAACTTTAAATTTTAATTAACTAATTACTTTTTTATTTGTTTGTTTTTTGGTATTGGGGATTGAACTCAGGTAATTTATTTATTTTGCTACAGTGCTTGCTAGGTTGCCCATGCTGAACTCAAGCTTCTGATCCTCCTGCCAACCACGTTGCAAAATCCAAGTCCATACAATATTAGCCAATTACAAGATTAACTTCTGTGTAGAAGCTTTTACATGGAATTCCAGGATGATATTTTGAAAAGATTTGTTATCTTGTTGCTAGGAAACTCTTACCATCAAATTTCCCTGGTAGTATTAATAAACTAGGGAAATCTACTTCTTAAAGTCCCTTCTTTTATCACTTTCTCATCACTGGGACAAGATACACAAAACCCACAAGTTAAGGGATGAGAGATTTATTTTGGGTCAGATTTTCAACATGGTTGGCTGGCTCCAAGTTAGAAATGGTGGAAGGGCCCAGGTGGAGGAGAGCTGCTCCCATCATGACAGCCAGGAAACAGAGAGAGAAAGAAGGAGCTGGGGAAGGAGATACACCCTTCCAGGTCATGCACTCTGTGACCCACCTCTTCCAACCAGACCCCACCTCTAACAGCAAGTCAGCTGTAGTGCCTTCATGATTCAGTCACCTTCCAAAAGCCCTGCCTTTGAGCACATGAGAGTTTTGGGAGTCATTCTTGATCTAAACTATAACATTCTACCTCTGGCCCCCAAAAGACTCATTTTCATCTCTTTATGCAAAATGTATTGTGTCCATGTCTAACAGCTGCCAATGTTTTATTAGTTCCAGTATTGCTGAGAGGCCCAAGTTCAGAGTCTTGAGACTCAAGGCAAACTCTTAGCTGTGAAACCCTATAAAAATAAAAAAGAAAGTCAAATACTTCCAACATACAATGACACAGGATAAACATTCCCAATTCAAATGGGAGAAATAGGCAGGTAGAAATCAGACCAAGGCAAGACCAAAA